TCTGCCTCAGATTTTACTATGACTGATGCCTTCTAAATAACCATGCCAACAGCCACTCACCTGCATTTTTCTCTTGTGGTCCTCTGAGCTGCACTTCCGCACCTTCTCCACCACCCCGGACACCAGATAGTGGGGGCGAAAGGTGCGGCTGGAGAACTCCCTTCGGCACTGGGGGCAGGAAGCCACACGGGGGCACCTGCCCCAGTAGCCTTGGATGCATGCCCTGCAGAAATGGTGCATGCATTCCAGCATGACAGGGTCACTGAAAAGCTCATAGCAGATGGCACAGGTCAGCTCTTCTCTCAGACTCTGCTCCTCACTCCGGCCAGCCATTCCTATGCACACACACAGCACGCTCCTGGATCTCACATAGGGGTCAGAATGAAATAAACATCCAGCCTCCCTTCTCCCCCACCCACATACGCTTGTCATCTGACACTCTTGGCCACACATCAGCAGGCCAGTTGGTTAGAGGGTTTATTGCCAGAACTCTGTGCTACAGCACAAGTGCCCAGAAACCACGAATGGGGGCTGTGATCTGCAAACTTTCTGTGCACTGTCCTCTCTACGGGTTTCTAAAGAACCATGTTTAAGTTTACTGCAGTGCAGTGAACTCCAGGCAAGGGATCTCTTCCTTTAAGATGGGCTGAGTCAGTTACTTTCACTTCCCTTAACTTCAGCAACAATTCTCAGAGGCTTCTTTGGGTAATTAACCCCATGGCCCTAACACAAGCTGGGAGTAGGAGATGCAACCTTGAGTCCAGGGAGGCCTTCTTCCAGCTGTGTAGGGTGCACTCCTTATTTCCAGTTGGGGAAAGGAAAGTGCGCACCAACAGAAACCACGGGGATGGACAATATCCACCTCCCCTACACTTTGCACAGCTGGCTCCTGGCATACCCTCCACTATGCCTAAAGTCTTGCACAACCCTGCCCTGCCACAGCTGCCCCCTGAACAGCCCCTGACACCCCCCACCCCTTCATTGCCCCCACCCCTGCCCCTTCATTCCTCCCACGCCCCAGCTGGCCCCCCCTTCATTCTCCC